ATTTGTGTGGATTAACCAGCAGATTTGCCCCCATGTGATAACGTCTTAACTGTGTAGTGTGAAAAGACACAAGGATAATAGGGAGGGGCCAGTATAATTTCTCTCAATAGGGAGTTCCAAACCTCAGCTATGGTTTCATACATGTATTTAATATAATAAAAGTACAGTACTTCTTTGGGGAAAGGATGTTAGCACATATACACTATGATCTGATTTGTGGGGTTTTTTTTGTGTGTGATAGCATTTGAGAGCATGCAGCTTAGGGGTACATCTTAGTCCTGCATCACTACTAGACACCAAAGTGGCCTCTGAGACTTAGAATTCCTTTTACCAACTTCAGAGGTTTACCTTTTCTTGGATAGGGTTCACCTTGGTTGCATCCACACTGTAGAAATAATTTGGTTTGATATCACCTTAACCTCCAGGGCTCAAAGCTATGGAATTCTGGGAATTGTTTGTTGTGGCATCAGAGCTCAACTGTGGAGCAATTAAAGTGGTATCAAACCAGATTATTTCTGCAGTGCAGATGCGCTCCTTGATACACTGATTCATTGAATTGCTGTTGGACATTGGATTGTCCTTGAACAAGGTTTAGAAGTCACAATTTCTACAGTAACTGCAATTCTGTCTGGCAGATCTCAATGGAACTAATGTTGTGCAGTTCTCAAAGAATTGCATTATCTTGATATTTGATACTGCAGCCAGCTGATGAAGTCCTAAATAGCCTCATTCTCTAATACTCAGTGCAGCACTTATTTGGGGAAAGCATGAAGCAAAAGTCTGTAGGATGCCCATGCATTTTGTCATTCAAAGGAAATCTTTCCCCAAGTGCCATCACCCATGGGAGAGATACATGACATGATATCTCCCAAACTATATATAGATTAACTTGTGGTCAATCTAGGTAATACATGCACTTGATAAGTATTCCCCTGGCCTTTTTGAGCAGAAGAACAGCGGTGCCTTGTAGGCCCTCCCCTCTTTGGCTCCTCTTTTCTGCTCAATTTTTCCATGTTGTTTCCCACCCCGTCCTTCACCCATTGTTTGGAGGCTGGTAGATTTACTTTCATTGGGGCTCTGAATCTACTGGTGTTGCTTGAACTTGAAAGGGCTATCTAATGTGCTGAAGCTTATACTCAGAACAGAAACAAAATTTTGATTCCAACTCAGGACAGATTCACAACTCTACTGAAATGAAAGCTACCAACCTCAATCACATCAAGTATGTTGAAAAAAATGATTGAAATCTGAATTTTTAAAATAAGTTGGTACTTTTTTTGCAAGAAGTGGAAAACATCTCAGCAGAAAACATACTGTTTGCCATACAACACCAATGTTTTTTGAGCAAAACATGATTTTTAATGCACATGATTTTTTTCCTCAAAAAAGTAATGAAGTGCAAAAAACCCCATCAAAATTTGCCCAAAACTTGCTCAGTTGGGATAAATTTTGAAATTATTTGTTTTTGCATGTGATAATGAAATGAGCAACATTTTACAGTCTTATGTCTGCTGCAAGGCAACATTATGCAATGCTGAGAGCCAATGTGGTGTAGTGATTTAAGCACTCGACTATGACTCTGGAGACCAGAGTTCAAATCCCAGCTTGGTCATGTAAACCCACCTTGGACAAGTTACACTCTCTCATTATCATATCCTGGCAATGGCAAACCTCTTCTGAAGAAACTTGCCAAGAAAATCCTACTTACAGGTTCACCTCAGGGTAGCCATAACTCAGAAATGACTTGAAGACAACAACAACAGCAAACTGACAATTAACTGCTTTACAAAGTCCTGCCATTTGACATCAAACATTTTACATTTATTTTTTTCTCCACAATATTCAGTTATTTCTTTTCAAACTCTTCCATGACAAATTAGTGTGTATGTGCAATTATCTTACATACAGAATGGTTGACTAACTCCCAGTGGGTGTTACTTTGCATTTTCTGTAATGTTGCTCATTATTCTATTTGACTTTAATTGTATTTTCTGATTGAGATATTAAAAATTTATTCTAAATTGAGAAGTTAGTTACACTGACATAAACATGCAGATGATTGTGTTGCAATTGAGGCATTTATCTCACATGTATGGGAAACCCATTGATTCATATGTCTTAGTATTCTCAGTGTAGCATGTGACTAATATGTTTTGAAAGATTTAGAAGAATAAGTGAGAATAACTGGAGTATACATGCTTATTTATACACTGCCATTTTTCTAAAATAAATTTCTTCTCCTAGAAAAAAATGTTTTTGTTTCATTTTTCTGTTAGAGTGCTTTCTGAGGCACAAAGCTCTGAGACTCAAGCCCTTGCCCAAGCCCAGGCCCTGACTCCAGCCCCAGCAGACTGGGAGTAAGGCTGTGAAGACACACCCAACTAAAGGTGGTGGCAAATATGGGTGTGCAACGCCAGTACCCTGGTGAGATCAAACTCTTTTACCCAAAAAGGCTCCAATGCTGAATGTAAAGTCCCAAAGGGGGAAATTTATTTTGAAGAACAAAAGAAAAAGGTTTCTCCTCCCCAGCTCTAACAGGCTTAAAATAAAAGGTACTTTACAGTTTAAGTTTCAGCAATCTTCAGTGTTGTCATCTCTCTGGGTTTGATCTTGGTTTGATCTCCTTCTCAATGAAGCTGGTGCAGGGTCTTTCAGCTTCTGGTGCTCTTTACTTCTTTATTGTTGATGTTTAATAGAATTAACTGCTTCTGGTAACTAATCTAGCTAAATGGTAAATAAATTGGCTAAATGGTAAATAAATTGTCTGAATGGTGTAAGTTGGCTAAATGGTGTAAGAAATGCCCTTTCCCTCTGTCTGTGCCTCTTTGCCATCAAACAGATAAAGCCAAGCTTGCCTAAGAAAAAACTAAAAATCCCAAGCTGAATCAGAGCTTGCTGGGAAGGGGCAAACCAAAAACTAGAAAAAGGCAGGGGATTCCTACAGCTCCTCCCACAAACTAATACAGTGGAACATTCCTATGCTCAAACATACTAAGAACTGACTAAAAATGAAGGAAAATGCAGGGGAGAATTTAAATAGTCCAGGCTGGACATCACAAAGACTCTGTCCACAAATCCAAGACTGGGTGGAGGAAAGAAGGAAGCAGGTAAGGAAGGAGCGGAGGGAAGGAATGAGGACGGTAGAGGGAGGGAAGGGGGTGAGGGAATTTTGTCCCCAATGTTGGCGTGGCTGTTTCCATGCTGCCATTGGGGGCAATTTAGGTTTGCCATACATGGATGCTCAAATCTGCAGACAAGTCCGTGGATAAGGAGGGCCCACTGTTTTTCATAGTTGTTGCTTGATGCTGTGTGCCTTCAAATCTTTTCTGACTTATGGTGACCCTGAGGTGAATCTATTATGGGCTTTTCTTGGTAATAATTTCATAGTTAGATATGGATTTTATAGGATGTTTGTAAGAAAAGTTCTGGGTTATTTCTCATCTCTATTCATTAAGTTAGGTCTTCGCTACACAATGTTTGACAGAGGGGCAGTCATATTAGTCCACTGAAGCAAAAGCAGAAATAGAATCTCTTATGGTACCTTAAAAAGTAGCAAATTGATTGTGACATAAACTTTAATGGATCATAGTGCACAACAACATATGTATCAAGTGGCTATTTAATTCTTTAATCACTATACATACACACATACATACATTCTAAGTATAGAGCAGTGTGTGTGTTTCGGGGATATGAACAAGTATGATCAAAACAAATAGTCCTTGATAATTCAGTAGTATTTGACCCAAATATTTAGAATAAAAAGTGGAAAATCCCAAGTTGGTTCCAAATCAGGATCCAAACTCAATCTGTCCACAAACATCCCTAATTCAAATCAACAGTTTGGAACATTATGTGAAATGGAGAGTGCTAGACATTCTACATATGAATGTTGCTCGACTTTCGGAGATGGTTTGTCTGATGGCTCAAATCACATAGACAATTGCCAAAGCAATGTTACATCTTTGTTTTAGAAACTTGCTAATAAATTTATATGAAATACACTTCCAGAAGTCATGGCACTGATCACTCTGAAAATGTTTCTATCACATATGGAATGGAATCCTGTTGATACACTATACACTATAATAGTTGCACCATACAGCAGTGGTGAGGGAAGGCTGGCTACATCTTGTTGGCTCTGAGCAGCCTATTTCTGCTGTGTGCTACTTGTTTCATGACTGTTGCACCCATGGCCATTTTCCTGCTGCTACCACTAGTGCAGTTCACCAGCACATTTCCAGACATTGTGTGATGATGTGATTTGTCCTTTGCAGTTTACATTGCCGTTTTCTTCTCTTTGAGTATTTTTGATGCCATGTGGCATTTAGGTGTATGATATCGGTTTACTGGAACAAAATAGCCTCCATCTTTAGTAATTCAGCATATTGCACAATTGAGTGGTAAAAATATTATAATTTCCCAATGTTGTGACATGATTAAGTCATGAAAATTTGTTAATTGGCTTGTAAATAAATTTGCTGCCATTGTTTTTATAATAATGGTTTTGTAAACTATGTGGTGACTCCAATTCAAAGGCAGCACATATGGCAGCTCACAAATGCTAAGGCTCTTTCCCAGATGCATTGACTTAAGGAGAATCATTAAATGGATCCTCTTGTCTCCAATAGTGGGCATTAATGGAGAGATTTGGCATGTAGGAAAGAACAAAAGGTGGATAAATCTGGCTTCAGTAGTCTGGCAGAAAGCAGTAGATTAGAAAACAGGTGGTCTACAGGAACAAAGAATTCCCTACTCAACCCTACAATGTTAGATGAATTGTAAAGTAAAGCTGTGATATTATGTTGTGTATTTGTATCTGTCATTTGTGTGAGTTAACAGGATTATAAAATCTAAACCTAGCAAATGCATGTCATCTTTAAGTAAATTTACAACATTATAGGAGACAAGAAGCCCATTGCTCAAGTGTCCTGCTAGTCCTTGTTCAAGAATAAATCATGAATGCTTGGATTTCTCTCTGTAGGAAGATGCTCACATAAAATATTTGGTATATTCTCAGTTGTAGATGTTAATTATTCCTTTGTAGGCTAGCACTGGAAGGTAATCACTGGACACTTGTCATCCTGTTTCTTGGATCCTCCTTTGGATCCTCAAAGTGTTTTTCTTAATTGTTTCTTGGCATGCCCTTCAACTAAGCTCCAACCTGGTAATTAAGATTTATTAAAAATACAGAGGTTTGACATGCTACCTTAGAAAAGGAAAATGAAATGATTCAAGGATAAAATGCTAATGGCTATGTTCTCAGAGGCATAAATACCCTAAAGGCATCAAATCCCATCTTATCTTGGAAGTGAAGCAGGGTCTGCCCTGGTTAGTACTGGGATTAGGGACCATCAATAAATGCCAGTTTCTATAGGCTATATTTCAGAGAAAGGAAGTGGCAAAATCATCTCTGCATATTTCTTGCCTAAGAAAATCCTATGAACTTCATGGGGATGCCATAAATTGACAGGTGACTTGAAGGCACACACACACAGACACACATGGTCTCAGATTGTAAACACACACTCCAACTGTAGCATATACTGATGACAGTCCCTGTTTTCTGCCACATGCCCTTGGAAATGCATTACAGGTTGAGTCTCCCTTATCTGGAACTCTGAAATCTAAAACAATCCAAAATCCAAAATTGTCTACATGAGTGGGTGACAGAGTGACACCTTTGCTTTCTGATTGTTCAGTGTACACAAACTTTGTTTCATATACATATTGTGTACAAAATTATCTATATAAGGTGTATATGGAATATAAATGAATTTCACGTATAGACTTGAGGGTCCCATCTCAAAGATATCTCATTATGTATATGGAAATAATTCCAAAATCCAAAACACTTTTGATCCCAAGCATTTTGGATAAGGGAGGGTCAACCTTTATTATAAGGCTGGTGTCAAACTTACTGTCCTTTCAGTGATGACAGGCTATGTTTCAATAGAGGATTTGCCCATGAGAGGTGATATTTAGCACTTCCTACTCTCCTCTATAGTTGTCCTGCATTAATTTCATAAGTGTCCTTCAAGATCCTGAATGAAATTTCAAGATGGGTGGGGGCTGTGGGTGTGGACAATCTTCTTCCTCACTCCATCACTCAAAACTCCTGTTGGTTCAAATAGCCTTTTATCCAGGGAAAGGCCCCAGCTGGAGACATAACAGACTATTTTGCCTTTGTGAATGCCCACTTGAAATATTGCTGGTATCAGTTTCTATGGTTGTCAGTCTTTTACAGGTCAGCTCCATTTCCTCTTTTCCAGCAGCTGCCTTACTGAAGTATGGAAGGTTTACTTTGTCTTTAGTGTCCATGCATCTAAATGAAGAGTGTGTAATGTCCAGTAAATATTGCAAAAGATACTATGGTGTCTCCTCACTATAGTGTCCCACTAAGATGTCTGCCTTCCAAATGAGATTAAAGGGGTGTATTCAGGGTATGACATTGGGCAATGAAGGAGAAGATCAGCGTGGAATAAAATTTATATAGATGTGCACTTCAGAGCACATTTAACACCATTTCATTTTATTGCTTGTAATGGAATGATTATTTTTAATTGAGGAAAAGTTGCAAACAAATTCTGTGGAGGAGGAAATGAGACAAAA